TTATGCTGTTACTACAAACTATTCCTACAAAATGTTGACTAAAATTGGGACTCAAACTCAGGATATCAAATTCTGATTAGGAAATAAAAATCCTCATTTCTCCCATCTCCAAAACATATTCCTCTACTTCTTTTTTTATTAATTACATTACTACCCTTCTATTCTCCCAGAGTTTAAAATTTCTGAGCTACCTTTGAACCATTTCTTCCTCTTTCTTTGTCTCCAAAGTTAATATTAAGTCCTAACAATTTTCTACCTTAATATCTTTTCCATATGCACCCTTCTTCTTTATTATTTCTGCTGCTTTAGTACAGGCCCTCATTATCTCTAGTCTGAAACAATTTCCTTAATGTCTCTCCCTGCTCCCATCCATCCTCCATAGGGCTGCCAGATGAACTTTCCTGAAGGGAAGCTCTAATCCATCACCTTATTGTTCTAAAAAAATAGTCAGTGGTTCTTCTATCAACTTCTATATAAAATTCAAACTCCATAGCCAAAAACTAAGGGGCTTCTAGGATCTGAATAGTAATTTTTCATTCATATTTCCCACAAGTATCCTAGTAAGTTATAATCTGACTTGTTGGCTGTTTAAAGTTCTCTACCTATTTCTGCTAACTGAAATGTCTATCCCCACCACTTCAATCTATATAAAGCTTTTATTCTCCAAAAACCAGTTAAGACCCACTTCCCTACAGAACATATCCATGGCTTCCTAGACAGAAGGCATCTCTCAATCTTGTAAACTCTCATATTTTATTTACCTAGTTCCCATATATATTAGACATTGCATTCATTACATATATGTATATATCTTATCACTCTTACAAAAAAAGTTATTTAAAAATTATTGTTTTATTCATTATTGGTATTCCACATATCTAGACTAGGGGTTCCTAACTTTGAGTTTACAGACCAAGAGACATGGATAGATTCAGGGAATCTATGAACCTGGCTGGGAAAAATTATTTTTTATCAACTTGTAATTGAAATTTGCATTTCCTTAAACTATGGATTCAAACAACAAACCACAGGGTATCCATTATACCTGTGACATTGTCACCAATAGTATCACAATAGGTTTTTCTATGACAGTATATATTTTTTTTTTTGACAGGCAGAGTGGACAGTGAGAAAGAGAGACAGAGAGAAAGGTCTTCCTTTATCGTTGGTTCACCCTCCAATGGCCGCTGCGGCTGGCACGCTGAGGCCAGCGCACCATGCTTATCCAAAGCCAGGAGGCAGGCACTTCCTCCTGGTCTCCCATGCGGGTGCAGGGCCCAAGGACTTGGGCCATTCTCCACTGCCTTCCCAGGCCACAGCAGAGAGCTAGACTGGAAGAGGGGCAACTGAGACAGAATCTGGTGCCCTGACCGGGACTAGAACCCGGTGTGCCGGCGCTTCAGGCAGAGGATTAGCCTAGTGAGCCATGGCACCGGCCAATCACAGTATATTTTTTGTAGACATCCCAAATTATCTCTTAAATTTATCACTCATCAACATTCTGGTATTATGGACTGGGCATTGTGGCACAGAAAGTTTTGTCACCACTTTGGATGCCTGCATCCACAAATAAGAATGAGAATTTGAGTCCTGGCTATTCCACTTCCAATCCAGCTTCATGCTAAGGCACTTGGTAAAGGCAACAGATGATAGCTCAAGTCCTTGGGTCCCTGTCACCAACATGGGAAAACTAGATGGAGTTCCTGGCACCCTGATTTCAGTCTAGCCCATCCCTTATTGTTGTGGGAAGTGAACTAGAGGATGAAAGATTCTCTCTCTCTCTCTCTCTCTCTCTCTCTCTCTCCCTTGCCCTCCTTCCCTCCCTCTCTCTATTCTGTCACTTTGCCTTTCAATTAAATACATCCTTTTTTTAAAAAAATTCTGCCATTTTAGCCCCTCCACTAGATTTTGTTTTCATGCATTAGTAAGATAAACAGCACATTCTACTATATCACAAATTATTTTAAAGATTGATTTTTTGAAACTCAGAGTTACAGAGTGAGAGAGAGACAGAGAGGTCTTCCATCCACTGGTTCCTTCCCAGATGGCCACAACAGCAGGGGCTGGACCAGGCTGAAGCCAGGAGCCAAGAACTTCTTCCAGATCTCCCACGTGGGTAGCAGGGGCACAAGTACTTGGGGCATTTTCCACTGCTTTTCCCGGGCCATTAGCAAGGAGCCAGATCAGAAGTGGAGCAGCCAAGACACAAACCGGTGCCCACATGGGATGCTGGCATTGCAGGTGGTGGCTTTACCCACTATGCCACAAAGCAGAACCCTCCTTGTAACTTCTTGCCACTGATTTCCACTTTACCCCCAGGGGGTTAGATAGAATAAAACCAAAATCCTTCTTCTATGTAACTTTAATCTTTGAAGACACCATCATGCCATCCTTGATCCTCTTTTCTCTAGGGTTAATATTACTAATTCCTTCAACCATTCCTTTTATTAAATAATCTTAATAATCTTGTGTATGTGAACATGCCAACTATTCTCTAAGAATATCTTAATACTTTTGAGTCACTCTTAAAATGTGGTAATTCTGAACTCAACACAGTATTCCAAAATTGAAGTAGGGAGTTCAGTGGGAGTGGGACTACCTCATCTTGAATACCACAATCTGTACTTCTAACAATGTTGACTGAATAACATTGACAATTTTTTGGCAGTATTCACCACACTGACCCCATCATGCTTTCTGTCACCTTTATTCATAGGGCTGTTATTTTAACTCTCTTCAATAATTACTTGTGCAGCTGGGAATTCTGGTTACAATCTGTGGACTGGATAATAAGTTCTATTAAATTTTACCTTGATAGGTTGGCTTTAAGTTCCTATTTCTAGTTTGTTAAAACCTTTTGAGTTTTGTTTCTTTCACATATCATGTTTACTGCTCCTCTCAGATTTGTGGGATTGGTAAATATGAGCAGCATGTTTTCTACAACTTCATATTTGTACTTAATATATTACGTATACTACCATACACTAAAAACTCCTGGTTTTCTGTTGTCTAAAACATAGGCACTATTAAAAGCAGCCAAAATGTGTATAAAGTATGTAAAAAAAATCTTTGCTAGAAAATATATAGTGATAAAGTACTTTTAAGTGAGCAGTCTCATCTTGCAAGTGTTTCTTTTGTGCAGAGGAAGAATAGAACATTAACCATATTTTCAAGAAAAAATTCCCTTGTAATGCAGAAAAAATCACAAGCAAATTTCTATAGTTTTACATTAACGATATCTCTAAAGTATTTTCTCCAAAGTATTTTGAACTTTCAGTTCAACTGAAAGCATCTTTTCATTGAATTGCCAAATAATCTTGCAATCTCACTTACTCAGAGGTGGCTGATCTAGCAACCTCAGTTACCCAGAACACCACCAAGAATAAGGAAAATGAGGTCTGAGGTCTCTGAAAAGCAGGAAAGGTCAGCATGAAGTTCACATGCTGAATATCATGGGTATTACCCAGAATCTTACAGAAACTCACTCAAAATACATTTTTTCATATTTCAAATGTGGTCCAGAATGCCCTGCTTACCTAATTTCATAATCTACAGATACATATAAGGAACAAGCTAGAAATTATTAACAACCACAGAAAAAACAACAGGACATAACCTGATATTGAATGTGGAGAAACCAATACACACACAGCAAAATAGATAGGTGGTATATCTCAAGTGGACACAAGAACTCTAAAGTTTGTAATGAGAGAGAAATAGCCATAAAGTCAAAGACTCTTAATTATTTCAGTGATATCTAGGGGCAACATTACTTTAATGCACAGTGAAAAAATAATTGACATTTATAATATCATAATTACCATAACACTTCAAATTTATATAGTCTACATTCCATTATTATAGTTAATTCTCAAAATGTTTGAGTTGCCAAATCAGGTATCGGTGCCTTACCAAATTTTAAATTCTGTGGCTCACAAAGATTGAAAACTTACCCAGGGTCCATAATTGTTGGGTAAGTATTGTAATTCCTAGTCTATATCATAACGCTGAATCATCAAAAAGTATTTACACTTTAAGCCACATAACCTGGTTAGTAAAACAAGGACGCACGCAGTACATTTAAAAAGACTTCCACACAAAATTGAGTTGAAATTTTTAACTTTCTGAGTCCTTAAGTAAATAAAATTAAGCTACAGAAAAAAGTTCTTTTATATCAAATACCAATTTTCCAGAGGTCTGAATTTAAAACTTACAATGTGAATAATAAATTCAGAGCCATTAATTAGCCTACATTTTAAGGCTTAAAATCTGTACATAAAAAAACAAAAGCATATACAAAGGATAACAATCACTTAGACCTGATTTACCTTGTTTAACGATATTACTGGAGAATCCTCTTTTATCTGCCTTTAGACCTAGGTGAACCTGAGTAGACTTTTGTGCAGAGGAGAGAAGGTAAAAGTGGGAAGCTATAGCAAATGTCAAGTGTCAAAGCTCTCACCTGTGAACATTTAATTTTTAACAATATCAGAAGCCCTTAACTCTCCATTCTACAACATATGGAGGTAAAATAATGGAATTCTTATAAATGTTTAATGTTTATTAAAAAAAGGAAAGGAAATTAGAAAATCTTTTTTTTTTTTTTGCTTTGAAATAAATTTTTAAAACTTCTTATTTACTTTTTTAAACAGTTGGTATATTCACTGTCTGCCAAAAGAAAATAAGGGAAAATAAACGACAAAGTTGCAGTGAGGAAAATTCCCTTACTACCTTTTTCCAGGGTGAAGCTTACAGTCAGTGTAAAACCTTGATTTGTTATCATAAAAACCAAATAAAACACACAAAGTTTTAGAAAAATGGAGCTATCTGCTTAACACTCCTAATGGATCACAATCTGCCATCACCATGGTAACCGCAGAGTAACTTTTGCCTAGCTAGTGCCAATTATGCACTTCTCTGGCCCTTGAAGCTGCACGCACTTCTTCTTAAGAGCTGAAATCTTTAGAAGAAAAAGGCCCGACAGTTAAGGGCACACATACCCTCTTGTTCAGTCCGAGTCATTTCCTCAAGCTTCTTCTGCTTCAGTGTGTCCACCACATCGGCCAGACTCCCTTTGCGGCGCTCTGGAGTTCCAAAAGTAACACTGGTCATTATCTCGCGGTCCCGACTCCCCTCGTCAGGCTTATGTGGTGAGGTAGAGGTATTTCGGAGGGAATATAGGGAACATAACTTATTATTCTCTGACTCCTAAAAAAAAAAATGAAATAAAGCCATTAGAAGACAAGCTTCTTTGCACGCCGTTGGCAGAAAATCTTAAACTCAAAAGGACAGTACATGATGTTCAATAGGAAAAATAACTAACCAAAAAATAAATAAATAAAAAGGTAATAGTAAGGCAAATAAAAAATACGATTCTGATTAAACAATCCTCAACATTCAAGAAGAAATCATCAAAGGGGCTAAACCGAAACTGCAGATTCTAATTTCAGTTCTTTGAAAAGCTGCCTAAGATTCAAAAATGGACACTTCAACTTCTTGTTCACTTACACCCTTCATTTAAAATAGTCTAGATTTAACGAATAGTTATTAACATTTTAATTAGCATAAAGTTTGTCTTTTAATTGGGCACTTTTGTTAGCAATACTCCTCCCATATCTTAAAATTATGTGTGTGTGTGTATATATATATATATATATATAAAACTTTAAATCAATTTCCTTTGATATGAAGCCAGCAGAAAAGTTAGTCATAGAATCTAATATCCATTGTTCACCAGGAAATCTACAAAATATCTAAATCAGTACCATAAAGTGAACCACCCTAAATATTTTTTGTATGCTGAGGTTTGGGGAGAATTATTTTTTTTGCTAGCTATTCATCTTTCCTAAGCTACAGAAACCTCTTTGTATTCCTTATCCTTACCACTGATATTTTAGTAGATAGGAGCACAGTTTTCTTATAGCATTTAAAATATTTTTTAACCAAAGCACCAGTTTATTAAAAGAAATTTGCACAGTAATTACTTCATAGTACAGAGACGTTAGCTAACTGATAAGAGGGTCAGAGCCATCAGCTGAGGAGAAAAAGCAAATATTAGGTCGAAAATAACAAACACTTAAAAGTTTGTAGGAAGAAAAAAACTTTCTTTTATCACTGTGAATCAGAATTGAGGGGTTTGAATGCAACTGTTATTTGGCCCTTGACCTTTCCTGTTTGCACAAGGGTATTCTCTCTCCTTGTTCGTTCGTTCATTCTTTCTTTCTTTTTTTTTTTTTTTTTTAGTGTAAAGGAAAGCATCTAGGCTTTGTGATTCTCACCAGAACCTTAAAAATCCCAATTGCTTCTTTATCTCCCTTCTTCAAAAAAGAAGCCCAGCAAACTTCAAAATCTAGAGCAATGTCATAATTTTCAGAGGATAGGGGAAGAAAAGAGTCCAGAAGAGTAAGTTTCTACATCAGTTAAATTAGATGTAATTGAACTGAATAAATGCTAGGTATTTGGATACTATTGTTATATATAAGGTGGGATGAAAGTTCTTTTCAGGATTATTGTGAGCATAAAATGAGATGCCTTTGTAATGCACCTAGGCACAGTGCTGAGCTCACAGTGATGAGGCGGTGGTTTGCAGATCAAAAGTAGTATTATTCTGAAGGAAGGAGAAGATCTAGGAATGGGGCCAAGGGGGTTTTTCTTCCCTCTGGACCCAAGGAATTGTGAGGTAAAAAGCACTGATGTGAGTCTTGGATCTGAAATACTATGAATCCTGTTGAATCTACTTTTAAAAAATCATTGTATTGTATACATTAAATGGGTAAATTAAGTGATGGGGGTGTTGTATCTAAATAAAGCTATTTAAATATTGTGAACAAAATATTAATCTATTCTGCATTCCCATTACTAGCATAATGCCCAGAACAAAACAGCTTAAACAAACTGAAAAAGACAAACTATGTGAGGCAGACCAAGGGAGACAGTTCCTTTTTACCTTGCCCCTAGATCTCCTCTTTCCTTCATTATTTAATTTAATGTTGACAATAATTCTGTGGAGTGATGCAGAAGTCTTTCTTTTAGATGCCAGTCATGGTTAGTACATAGCTCCTTGGAATGGCCATCTCATTCTCCACTTGGTGCAAATGAAAACTCAGAGATATGTGTGCAAAAGGCATTTTGACTGAGGCTTTTAGGAATCAATAACCACCATTTGATTAATCATGCTTCAGTTACTTCCTTTTCAAAAGCAAATTATCCTCACATCATATCCCAGAAAGAAAACCCTGATTCAACCTAAGGGATTAAACACCAAGCCAAAACAGTATTATGTGGAAGCGGTTACCTACAAATGACTCACCATGGGCCATAATAAGGAAGGTTTTCCATCACTCCCTGATTGAAATTGAAACATGCTAGGAGAGGTTCTCCAGCCTCAAACTTCAGATTGTTCTTAGAGTATGAAGGCTCTGTGGGGTACCACTTCTTTCTGTATTTATTCATTGTTACTGTCTTGTAGTACCACGTTCCTAGCTTGTCACTCATGTGAATGCATTCATAGTCACTGTCAGTCTGCGCCACAGAGAGTAACCACAGGTTCTTTATCGCAGTGATGACCTACACTGGGCTCAGATCCATAATCTACGCAAAGTGGCTCAAGACTACTGGGTAGCAAACAGCAAGAGACTGAAAAGTCATGATTTTCCCCAAGAAAGCCACCAAGAGTTACTTGCAATGTGTCACCAAAGCACCAACACAGGCAATAAATAAAACCATGTATTGCTTAAGTTATGAGTTATAACATCCTTAGGAACAATACAAAGGAGTGAAATCTACCATTTCTGGACATTACTTTTTAACGTTCTAAAACTTAATAAATGCTGGCCTTTTAAAAGTGGCACATAATTCAATGCATTTACAACAGGTTACTATCTTATATGAAGTCATTACTACCAAATTCTTAAAAAGAAAATTGACAAAGGATCTGTAGGTTACTGTGTAATTTTTATGTAAAATTTCTTAAGAAAAAAAGAGCTTATTTTTAATTTTCTAAAAACAAAGTAGGTCCTATGAAACACAAACTGAGGTGGGACACCTAATAATATTAACAGTCAAGTCCTGATGCAACGTTGCCACATAGCTATGAAGAGATTTGAGAAAATATTTCCCTAAAGCAGTGATTCTCAAACTTCAAAGTGCAGAATTTCCCAGTAAGTATGTTAAGATGCAGATTCCCTTGCAGTCTCCTGGACCAGGAATATGAATGTTAGTGAACATCCAAGTAACTAGGATGCACAGGCCCTGGCCCCAATCTAAAAAATACTACTTCCTGAGCAGGCAGTAAATAAGTGGGCTTTGCTTTCACATTATACTGGGGACTTAATTATAAACAAATTTCAGAAAGCTGTTCAGTTGTGACTTTTTAAAATAATGTAAAGGAAATTATTTCTCTTCTTTTGATCTTCTTTTTGAAAACAACCACTATAAAACAGGGCTGAATACATGAACATCACAAAAAGCAGAATACATGGGCATTGAGTTAGTGAATATTAGTTTATTCAAAGTAAATTTAATATAAATTTGTTTTTCCTCAATCCTCAGCTGCCCCATCAAATCTAACAGTAAACAAAATTTTCAAAATATTATTTGAAAAAGATCCCAGTCCCAATACAAGAACTAAGGCATTGTCAACTCAGACCATTTAAAGACAACTTCACTGGAAATTAATTAAAAACATTACATAAGGGGCCAGCTCTGTGCTGTAGTCGGTAAAGCCACTGCCTGCAGTGCTGGCATCCCATGTCGGTGCCAGTTCGCGTCCCAGCTGCTCCACTTCAGATCCAGCTCTCTGCTATGGCCTGGGAAAGCAGTGGAATATGGCCTAAGTCTTTGGGTCCCTGCACCCACGTGGGAAACTGAAGAAGCTCCTGGCTCCTGGCTTTGGATTGGCGCAGCTCCAGCCATTGCGGCCAATTGGGGAGTGAACCAGCCAATGGAAGACCTCTCTCTCTCTCTCTCTCTCTCCCTGCCTTTCCTACTCTCTCTGTGTAACTCTGACTTTCAAGTAAATAAATAAATCTTAAAAAAAAAAAAAAAATTACATAAACTATATGCAGATGTTGGATAAAGCAGAATAGTACCAGAAAGTGATGATCAGACATTATTTTTAGAAAGAATTCACTTTTCACAGTGAAGATATTTCCAGTGTGTGAAAGCATAGAAAAGTAAATATTAAAAACAAAACATACTGCAATAAATATTGCTCAGATGTTTCGGGATTGTTATATAGAACTGGTTGCCCGGCAATGGCAATCAGAGGACTTTAAACAGTCTTATTATGGTACAGTGAAAATATTAAATTACTCAAAGATTTGAGCCTTTGCTTCTTTTGTTCTTTTCCCCCAGAATGTCCTACTTTTTAGTGTGTTTGTTTGTTTTCATTTATTATATTTGAAAGGCAGAAAGAGAAAGAGAGAAACAATATCTCCCATCTGTTGGGTCATTTCCCAAATTTCTGTAACAGCCTTGCTGGGGCCAGACTAAAGCCAGGAGCCCAGGAACTCCATCCTGGTCTCCCTATGGGTGGTAGGGACTCAAGTACTTGAGCTATCTCCTGCTGCCTCCCAGGATGCAGGTTTGTTGGAAAATGTAGATGGGACTCAACCCCGGGCATTCCAACACAGATGTGGTATTCCAAGCAGCCGTTTAACCCACTTTGCCACAATGCCCCATTCATCCACTTTGAGGATGATCCCAACATGCTTTCGAGAGTTCAGAATAAACTGCATTTTATCCTAGCAGCCCTCCTTGTTTACATCGGGCCTTACCATCCTGCTACCCACTCAAACTATGCATTGAAGCACTTAATCATACTGCAACTCAGCATTAAATAAATAAATAAAAATAATAATAACATTCATCAATAGTTTTTTAGGTAATAATACTACTTGAAACTAAACTTTATTTCTTAGGTGGTTGAACTACTTCTCATGTTTCTTCCATATGCCTCCTCCTTCTATATGAACTTGAAACAACAACTACTCATCAAATATGTCAAGAAAAACTAAAAGCTAAGACTAAGAGTAAAGATTTGCTCTAACAATGACAGGATTATTTAAGCAAAATATTTAGAACTGAGATATTAAAAAATAAGGGATTGATGATATACTTTACAACTCAATACTACACAGCCATTAAAAATAATATTATATATGTTGAATATGGTATTGCTTACAGTGATGAATAATTAGATGCAACCT